CCTGAATATAAAATCCTACTTAGTTATTAAACGTGACCCCCATTTCCAAAAATAGCAGTCGGATCCTCCTATCGTCCAGTTCACACTCCTCCCAGTCTTTGAACAGAAGTAGAAGTTTATTTCTTATTCCTTGTTTAGGATTAGGTCTTTCGTTACTGCTGAAGTCTTTTCATTATCTTCCACACCCATTTATCCCCTTGCGCCTTAGTGGCTTTATCGCCTTGATTGTAAGGAATTGATTAAAAAAGATACGATTTATACGATGACATAATTTTCACAACACATACGTGTTCCAGATGGTTTAATCGCTAAATAACTTGAATTTGTTTCACAAATAGTTTTTGCTAGATATTGAAAAATAATGGCAACAGATGTGTCTGTATTACTCAGGATAATGCGTGTGGGTTTCTACCCAGACTGACGAATTTGCCACTGATTTCAAATCCAGTATGTGTGTATATACCTTTACAAGACCTTGATCAGGCCTAAAATGGAGTATTGTTGTCATATTTGGGCGGGAGATGACAATCCTCACTTTCCAGTGTCGATAGAGTTCAAAAGATGTTTCAGAGTCCTTGAAGGCGACGAATTATTTTCCAACTTCCAACCTCTCACACACAAGCGGGGTGTGGCATGCTTTTCACTGATCTATTGCTGCTTTCATGGGAAGTGCTCGGACGAACTGCATTCTTTGGTCCCACCAGTTCTAACCTTCGCGGCCAGGATCCGCCATGCCACTCACATTTTAGCAAACCACTCACATTTATTTCCTCTGTATTTCATTGGTGAGAAGTTGCACCCGAATAGCTTCTTCCCGCGGACCACTGCTCTGTGGAACCGACTCCCAAGAGGACGTTTCCCCGATCACTACAATCTTAAACTGTTCAAGTCTAGGGTTAGCAGTCATCTTCCCCACATATCCGCATAAAAGGTGCCTCTCACTGTAATCCTCTACCTCGAGTGCCCCCTGGGCCTTGTATAAGGTGAACCTCTCTGTAAAAAAGAATATTACTCTTAACTGCCTAATATGAGGTGAATAAAAGGGGGATCATAAAATCACGTAAAGAGTTCAAAATCGCAAAATTATTAAACAGGGTGGTCTTAACAAGCTCGTTGTAGTCGAAAAATTTTCTTCTGAAATAAACGTCTCCCCACGTCGATTAGAAACCAAACTGTATGCCTCCGAAATAAAGTTGATGCATTAAAAATGCTCAGTGTACTAATTTTTTTAAATTTTTATTTGGGTTTTAAAGAAAAAACATTTGAAATATTCCTAGAGTCGTTTCGTTTTATGGGCAACGTATATTTAAGGAGCTTATTGCCACAGTCCGTTTAACAATGTTTTTCAATTCAATATATTGATTACAGATGAACAAATATGTCCTAGAAAATATTGATGAGACAATCGATCAGTGCAAAACAATCTGTCAGTTACCTGTACGTACTCATAACAACTTCGTGAGAATACATACGGACATATGGCCGATGCTTTAAGTAAGTACGGGAGTATATGTGAGGAGTTGGGTGAATCAGCGAGTGACAGATATGAAAGAGCAGGAGTATATATGTAGATAAAGCAATAAACGCTGCATGTTGACTGTCAGTTTAATTCCTCTTGAGTTTTTCAGATCATGTACTACTATCACTTGTGTGGGCTCTATATATAAACCAATGTTTATAGCTTGGACCGTTAACTTACTTTATTTTCTTTCTATATTTAAAATGTTTTAAATTTTGGTATTTGAAAAAGAGTATATTCGATTTAGATTTATATACTTTTGAATTGTAATGTGATTGTAGGTAGCGTATTAGAAATTAGATTTCGTGCTTGCATTTGGAAATAAACTCTGATTTTTGCTTACAAGTTTATATTACTTTGGAAATGTGAGTGTTGCTATTTTCTTCTCGAGGCAATGATTAGATTGTTTTGAGGTGTTATTGCAAGATGTGTCTGTTTTTCTTATTTTCCATGTTATAGTTGTTGTGTTTTGGTTGTGTTTTACTAAAAATAAAAAAATATCTTTAACATTTTGTTACTGGTCATATAATTTCACAAAAGCTTTTTTGGTCTTTTAAAAATGTCAACGGGAAAATACTTTCCAAAACAATTATTTTCATAAAGGTTTCTCATAGTATATGTATGCAAAACTCGTAATATAGTCCTAAATCTGCCAAATTCAACATTGATAATTTGAAAGTTAGCTAGCTTTGCACTACACTGTATATTTATTTCTAGTAAGATGAGACAAGTATGATGATACAAGTATGATGATACCGGTGCGAACAAGTATGATAATACACGTATGAACAAGCATGATGATACAAGTATTATGATACAAGTATGAACAATTATGATGATGTATGGTGATACAAGTAAGGTGATACAAGTATGGTGATACAGGTGCGAACAAGTATGATGATACGCGTATGAACAAGCATGATGATACAAGTATTATGATACAAGTATGAAAAATTATGATGATGTAAGTATGATCATACAAGTATGACGATACAAGTATGGGCAATTTCGATGACACAAGCATGATGATAAAAGTATAATCAAGTATGATGATACAAGTATGGACAATTATGATGACACAAGTATTAACAAGTATGATGATACTAGTATTATGATACAAGTAGAACAATTATAATGATACTAGTATTGTGATACAAGTATGATGATACAAGTATGAACAATTATGATGACACAAATATGAGGATACAAGTATGATGAACAGTTATTGAGTTGCATAATAAAATCTCATATTTCCGAATAAGTTTTTGTAAATCATCATTAATAAAAAAAATTTTTTATCATAAGATGGAATTATATTTATTAGATGAATGTAACCCTTTCCAGAAAGCTAAAATAAATTTTATTAGGAAACTGTTAGTTTGCATAAAAAATCTGACATAATCGTCCTCCTTCTAGGTGAGGTGTAATTTTCTGCCCATTTCGTAAACCTCAGCATTTTCTCAGTATATATATCGCAATTTACTATGTGTACCTAAGTTATGGCACAAGGACACAAGTATTGGGAACCTAATGAGGATCGAATTCACTATTCAATCGTAACTGATCTAACGAGACAAGCTTGCTAACCATAAAACCACGTCAAATCTCTCTCTCTCTCTCTCTCTCTCTCTCTCATATATATATATATATATATATATATATATATATATATATATATATATATATATATATATATGAGATAACTAAATATTAACGAACGTATACGCGTGTGCTGTCGCACATACGCTGGTAAGCAAATAAATAATTACCAAATTTAGCCAAGAGGTGTAGACATAATAGTGCTCAATGTGATTAGACAGAGAAGTTTTTCCAACTTCCGACAAAGTTGTTTTATGTCAGAATTAAAATTGGTGAAGTTTCTAAAGCTCTTTTTTCTTTTTTCTTTTTCTTTTTTCTTTTTGAATCCGAGTATTTTCGACTGTCACTGGAGTCGATATCAAGAATTGCCTGTTTTGCCTGTTTATAAAATGTGTTTGGCTACTTTCGGCATTTCAAGTCTCTTAAAAGTGGCGTCATTTAATACGGTCAAATTGAAATTTTACTTGATTTTGTCGAAAGTTGTAAAAACTTAATATATAAGTTGGACTGACATACCACGTTGGTATTGTCTAACAAATCTTGTTTAGAAGAATTCTTGCTGCCTAAATATTGCATATTTGTAAAGAGGTCCAATTTGAAATTTCTCTTCAGTTCCTAATCTTCCTCCTTTTCCCTCTTATCTTTCACTCTCTGTGTATTTATGTTTGTTTTTCTCCTCCCATTATTGTCTCTCTCTCTCCCTCCTATCCCTCCTATCCCTCCCCACTCTCTCTCTCTCTCTCTCTCATACGTTTCCTCCGTTTTGATTATCATTGTTCTTTATCTGATTCATTTGCAGGTTCGCGGTTCTGTCATCGTGCCTAATGGCTTGTTAGCTAGAAACCAAAGTATATTCATATATCAACGTCAGACCGGTAAGAATAAATTGAGTTATTCATTCATACATTGAATACTTAATTAATCTCATTCATCTTGTTTTATTTACATTTCATTTGTAAATCTCTTCATACAAAATTCCATATCGGAGTTCTGCACCAAACCATATCGATATGTGACTACTCTGGCATAAAACTCAAATACTCCACTGCATACACACAAATACTTTGTTTTTGTGCGCATGCCGGGATAATAATTCGCAATTAGGAATCTTGATTTTTATTTTACTGAATGTTCTTGGTGGCAAGACTCAAGTTGAAACTGGTCCTAATTAAATTATGAATCCATCCCCTTGAAATTTAAAGTGCTTAATCACTCCTTGTATTTGTGTATGGGCTTGGCATGGTCGCGAACATGGTCGTGTTAAAGCCGTCGAACAAGATGATTCTTTTTTATTATTAATCATATTCGCCATTTTATCATAACATGACCCGTCTTTTGTTAAATATTAAAGACCAAGACAAATTGTTATTATATAAGTTATTTGAGCGCAAAGTACAACTGTATTACGGAATTATTCTGTCCTGACCCAAATGTATGCATTTTCGTGTAATAGCCAAGAAAAAGTTTACCGTGTGAGACCGCTTTCCTCTTGTAGATGCTATTCTGATTTAATTCAGTTGAATAATATTCGTGTATATAAAAGATCCCTGAAATAATACTGAATTATAGATTTTAATTATGAAGAAGAAAGAAAAAGAGAATTTTGTCAAATTCTTCAGATAATAAATTATTAGGTTGGTGCAAAAATAATGACGTAATAATGTCGTTTTTGACGTTAAAAATACATCAAAAAACGACATTATTACGTCATTATTTTTGCACCAACCTAATATCATAATAATGTCTTGCTATTCAGACCAGCATGCTCACATGGTTTAGGCCGCTATTCTCTCTAACCTTCTTCAGCTGTCCATTGTCGTTCTCATTAATCTAGGTAGTTGATTTCACTTTCCATGCTTAGGAGATATTCTATATTCTTCGTATGGCCATATCACGTTGAAACACCAGTCCTCATCCGATCACTGAAATTAAGCAACGTCAAGTCTGGTCAGTACCTAGATGGGTGACCGCTTGGGAATAGGTGCTATAAGTTTGGATGTGCGGGTGGTGTATTGAATAAGAGTTTGGAATGAGAAGTCGGAAAGCCGAGTTCAAATTCAAGTCGGATTCATTACATTCACTTACGCGCAAATACCCTTGGGAACAGGTATGAATCCACCTCTCCACCCCCCTATCTAAAATTGTAAGACTTGTATCTTAAAATTATTATTATCTCCAAGAAATTAATACAATGTTCACTCGCAAAAATCTTTTACAATCCTAAAATATGCTTCGGCTTTAAATAACCTACAAAAGGTTGATAAACCGTAAAAAGCAATCACTATGAGTTAACACACCTTTGTGTCACTTGTCATAGAGTCCCACAATCTGAGTACGTACACAGATTAGGTTTAAGGCACTAAATTTTCATCACAAAATTGTCAGGCGTCGGTTTTCTCAAACACGCGGCACACGGACCATCTGTTTGCGAAACACGAGGAAGGAAGCTATTTAATAATCAAAATTTTCCTCAAATTTTAAGAGGTTTAATAAATTTGTCCCTCGTCCCTTCCATTTTGTTGCAGTTGCAGTAATGCACTTTGACTGTTTGCATTTGGTGTGTAGTTAATCAATTTTAAGGTCACCAAGGTCAGTTCTAGTTCCTCACCAGGGAAGGGAAGAAATTTCAACTGCCTCCGATTCTAAGTACAAGTGTCCTTTTTGTTGCCATTTTCCTTAATGTTTCCCCCTTGTTAACATTTCCCTACATGGTATTCTCGGCATCTTTCTGTAGAAGCAAACCGCTGTTGCCTCAAGTCTTCTCTTCATCAATGGTAAATTTACCGCCAAAATAAGAGGATCGTTATTACATCATTAAACTGAAGATGTGAATGCTTCACCCATTTCACGCCTTCAATATCTAATAGAATTTTGTGAGGAAAATAATACTTACGCCCCAAATTTATTTTTGTAGATCTACTTCATTTTTTTATATCATTTCACCAAGGCAATAAAGCCACTACAACGCAAGAGGATTACTGAGTGGGAAAGAACCGGATGTAAGAAATCGGAAGAGTGTTCCACAAGAGAGAAGTGCGAGACCAGAAACTGTTAATACAGAACTTACAATTAAATCAAACTATTTCAGCTGTAAAATGATGAAACCTTGCTGCCGATCAAGTATTGCGTTTACATTCCTAAGATCCAAGTACCACAGAAGAAAGTACATCAGAATAATTACCAAGGGAATCTTTATAGAAACTGCATAGGAAAGCTACGTTACGGTGGTGGGAAAGAGACTGAAGCCGAGATGCGACGTCAGGACCAATAATACTGTAGATTCTTCTTTAGATTTTATCAAGAATACAGAAGCACCAGACCAGTTGTAGCAGCAATATTCAATGCATGGATGAATGGTAAACTTATAGATGTGTAACATAGATGCTTTTGCGATAAAAAATACCTATCACGACACATTGAACCAACTTTCCGAGCAGCAGACCTAGCAATTGATTAAATATAATCTTTCCACTTCATTTCAGCAAAAAACGTTGGCCCAAAAAGGCGCAATGATCATTCTCCTAGAAGTTAACATCAGTCATGATGATGGAAGGCTAAAAGTGTTCTCTCCGACTATTAAAAGAGAGGTTTCGTTTTGGAGGTGTTAGAATGATTACAGATTTTATAAATCTGCGTATGTAGTATATATGTATAGGGTGTTGGCCTATTTGTAGGTTAGTGTTCCGACGATGAGCTTCTGGCTCGAATCAAACGATTTTCGATTTCTCTTCTTGGGGAGACGACCACATCGTGTCGTACTGTTAGGCAATGCGTGAAAATTATATCACGCGTTGACCCAAACTATGTGAGTGAAACTGTGTAGATGAAACAGTTCGGAAGCCGTCAATGTTTCCCGTACGATCACCTGAGTTAAGCAACATCAAGCCTGGTCAGTATCTAGATGAGTGACCGCTTGGGAAAACCAGGTGCCGTAAGCTGTAGTGTGTGAGTTGTGTGTGATGGATAATGGCTCGGAATTGCTAATCGAGGAAACGAATTCCAATTCCAGTTGACTTCGTTATAAAATAAACCATTATTATCTCCCCCCGCCCAAATTCTTACAATCCAAAATTATTTTCTAGATTTAAGTACCCTGTAATGGGCTGGTATGTATTAGAAAACAAATCAATAAAATGAAACCGTCGATGGTTCTTCTAGTATAAATTCACAAGTCATCCTGGTCGAAGGTTAGAGCGGACGACCCTTGTTCAACTACTGATCACACTGGATCTCTCTCTCTCTCTCTCTCTCTCTCTCTCTCTCTCTCTCTCTCTCTCTCCTCAAGAACACATGGCACAGTGGATAAAGGCGTTGGTTAGATCCAGTGAGAGAACCCAAAGAGTGTGAGTTCAATACCCGGTTAAGGCAGTGGAGAACTTTCAGAGGGAAGATTAACAGGAGATAACTGATAACTGACATCCATTAAACGTGGAACTAGAACAGTCTACCCCAGTGAACGAAATAAAGGGTTCAGTTCGACATTCCAACCACCTGAAGAAGGCCGGAGTTTACAACGGCCGAAACGTTGTAATAAATATGGCGACAAAGATGAGGACAATAGTCCGAATAATCTCTCTCTCTCTCTCTCTATATATATATATATATGTGTGTGTGTGTGGATTTTAAAGCGATATAACTGTGCCTGAGCAGGTATTAGCTAGCCGTCCTTGCGGAAAACGAGCAATCAGTCATTATTATAGGAAAGTTGCTTGCACGCTAATTTTCCATCTGTATGCATGAATCAGCGGGCGTTTCCCCGTGTCAGTACACCTATTCCTATATTAATATATGCATATGGTTACAGGTGTTGCTTCCTGTGACACAGTCCAAGGCCCACGCACGTCTAAACTCGTTTTATGTGTGTACTTACATGTGCCTTATTTTAATGCCATACTGTAGACATTTGCATCTATATATTTCTCTGTGTGATTAGACGGCGGACTTTTCACAACATTCTGATCCGAGGTAGAAACACTAAGGAGCTACATTTTCAAAATGGGTAGAATGTACAGTCGCACTGACATTATTCAGAAAAGCTGATTCATGCGTAAATCCTCTCTTTATTCTTATGAGTGATATAATTCTACTAGTAATATAACAGAATATATAGATATTAGATATAAATAATTAATTGAAAAGACATGAAAAAATGTCTACCAGACAACACTCATAAAATATATATTTAGTAGCATGGCTTGAGCGCAAAAAAGTCGTCATCGAATGACATCAAGCATATCATCTAGGTATGAAAATACTAATCTTAATCTTTTCAGGTTTATGGTCAACCGTTATCTATATTACAGATATTAATCCTTCTTATGTCCATATAACAACCTCAGTATCCCTCTACTTTGAGTAGTTCTTGAGCCTTGTATTGGGTTAACATTTAGTAAAAAAAGAATTGGAAAATCAGATTTCTTTCTGGGTACCTTTGTCCAATAGCTACAAAGAATTTATGGTTTCAGTTGTAATATTTGTGTGAATTACAAGGTCATAACAGTAAATTGAAAAGTATAATAACACTGGTGGAAACGTATGCAGATGTCACAGTCATCTTTTTTTGTTCATTTTTTGAAATGAGAGAAGAAAAAAAACTGTTGAGGAGTATTTGGGATCAGTTGAAGAAAAATTTAAATCTCCAGGATTCATTCGATGTAATTCTAAACAATTGATTTATTGATGGATTGATTCGTGTTCTACGGATTATCAACCCTTTGCAAGTTAAAATTTAAATCCAGAAAATATTTTTAGATTGTAAAAATGCAGGTTCAATACCTGCTGAGAGTTATATTTTCTTTAAATAATAGGACTTTCGATGCTTCTAAGCTGGTAGATATCGACTTCCCTGTTCGAAAAAAAGTGGGGGTGTCTGCTCAAACACGTGCACTCACTAAGAATAATGGTTATTTGATTTTATCGACCTTTTGCAGGTTATTTATAGCCAGAAAATATTTTTAGATTGTAAGATTTTTTTGCGATAATAATGATTTAGTGATACAATTCTTACTAATTAACCCATAGCTGGGAGGAGAAGAGGTGGATTCATACATTTCTCAAGGGTATTTGCGCGTACGTAATTATAAGGAAACCAGCTGGAATTGGAACTCGGCTCTCCGATTAACAATTCCAAGCCATTTTCCAAGCTTACAGAACCTGGTATTCCCAAGCAGTCACCCATCTAGATACTGACCAGGCTCGACATAGCTTAACTTCAGTGATCGGTGTTTCAACGTGATGTGGCTCTCAGCTTAATTCTAAAGAACGGACAGAGCAGAATAATAAGATAAAAAATATAATAAAAACATCGCAATTCCGGGTACCACTTGCTTGAACTGTTACCCCAGGGCAATGTTTCTCAAGTGGTGTTCCTCGAAACTTTAGGGTACCACAAGAAGTCGGTAGAGGTTCCGCGAGAAACGATGATAAATAAATTAATACGCTGTTCGTCTTAGGGTCCTCGACAAAATCCAAAGACGGATATGCAATGTGGTTGGCCCTGATCTGGCATCTCGTTTACAGTCGCTATCTCACAAACGTGCCGTCACCCCCCTCTGTCTTTTCTACAAATACTTTCACGGTAACTGTTCCGACGAGTTATTTTCGCTAGTTCCCAAATTGCATGAAGTTAAACGTGTCACTAAGTCGCCATCTCTATCCCACCCTTTCACTGTCGAATCAGTTAAATGTAGCCGTCTCTTCTACTGCAATAGCTTCATGTCTCGCACTTCCCGTCTGTGAAACTCCCTTCCTCTTACTTGCTTCCCTGATAGCTATAATCTCCAGCTATTCAAATGCAATGTCAATCGACATCTTCAGATGCTTTGAGCTATTCCCCGTCCTTCTCTTCATCCTTTCTTCTTTCACGATTCTTTACTCTTGCTCCCACTCGCTGTAACCCCATTGCGAGCTAGTAGCACTCCTGCCTTGCTTGGGGTGAAAAGCTTAAAAAAGTTATGTTCCTAATTTTACCGTACATGTACG